CAAAATTGCAGCTCTTGTGGGGTGTTTCCCGGTCTGCAGTGGTCAGTACCTATCAAAAGTGGTCCAAGGAAGGAGAAGGAGTGAACTGGAGACAGGGTCATGATGCACGTAGGGAGTGAAGGCTGGCCCGTCCAACAGACGAGCTACTGTAGCTCAAACTGCTGAAACAGTTAATGCTGGTTCTGATAGAAAGGTGTCAGAACACACAGTTTGTTAGTATGGGGCTGCAGAACATTATGACCACCAGGGTGCCCAGGTGCTCATAATGTTATGGCTGATCAGTGTATGTTCTATACAGAGTTCAATCAACTCATTAGATAAAGCTTCTAAAAAAACATGATTAGCATGTTAGCAGACTTTCCAGCATGCATTGTTTAAAACTCTCCAGAGACCCTTCCTTTTTATATTTGAAGAAAACATATATGATGGAAACCAACTGTGCATCTTTAATACACTTTAAGATAAGCCCTCGTTGTTTGTTTTCACAAAAATGAAAACACTGCAAACCATGATGAAGGTTATTCAGTCCCTACTCCCTTACACTTGCGGTTTCAAATCAAATCTTCAAATAAAGTTGAACCAGCTCAAAATGATTTACAGTGTAGAGCTAATTGACTTGTACTGCATCTTTAACAGTGTCTTGACTGTATAATCTTTGTGTAATATAATTGAAATCATAATGTTCTTACCATGATGGATTATGACAGAATAATTATACATGTGTAGCATCTGAATAAACCATGCAAAACTGTATACGTGTCTGTACATACATTTCTTGAACTGATGTACTGAGTTGTGACTTTTTACAGACCATACAAGTATTGATTAATCGAGGAAATAATCAGACTGATCAGCAGTGTTGGGGGTAACTGTAATCAGATTACATTTGTCTGTAACACAGTAATGTAACGCATTACTGTTGATAACGTAAGTAATCATATTACAGTTACGCATCAAAAATTATCTCGTTACTTGCGCTTCTTTGGGAGGACCGAAAACACAAATCAAACGTCCCTTTCTATGCCTGCTTATGCAACACTCGTTTGGCCCTATGGTTTGACCTCACTCACGTCACGGCCACCCAATCGAAAGCAAAATGTAACTAGATGGTAACTAATTATTTTAAGCAGCGAGTAAAAAAAAAAAGTAAAGCATTACTTTTTTTTAAACAAGTAACTTAGTAACTTGTGTAATGGAATTTTACTGTTTTCATTACCCCACCCGCGCAGGAAAGATGGTTTGTGCTTTTTAATTTATCCAGCACTAATCGATTCACATCCACAAATCCAAATTTTCCATTATACCAACATCATTTTTAATGTTGAAATACAACAATAAAAACATGCTCATTACTCCCATACTGCTAAAATAAGGAAAGGAAATCAAACTACTTGTTACCCCGCATTTACTTTCACCTAATTTATAATTTTCTGTCTGTCCCCTTGAGCATTGACTCTTCATTGTTTACCTGTCTTTGTTCATATAAAGTAAACAATTGTTTTTAGGATGAAAAATCGTATATTCTGACATCAATTAAATTAAATTACATATACTGTTGGACTGCCATGTGCTGTTACATCTACAACATTCAGCTCTCTTCAGTTACCAGCTTAAATTATTTATTCTTCTTCGAGTTAAAACAAATTAAGGGCACATTCGAATGAGAAAAAACAAGGAATTAAAGATTCATTCGATAAGATCAGATAAGATATGCCTTTATTTAGTCCCCACAATGGGGAAATTCAAAAGGGGGGGGGTACCAAGACAACGGGAAACAGAGCGAGAGGGGGAGGAGAAAAAAAGAAGCTCCAAAAAGACTCTGCTTCCTGTAGGGAGTAACAGTGTGGGACTCGCGAAAAAAAACTCACAAACATAAGCACATATGAAGCACCACTTTACAACATAAAACTCAAAACAACTCGCACCGGGGGAGGTGGAAAGGGGGGTGGAGGCGTCAGCGGCAGACAGGCGGCCGGCTTTGTTATGTTTCTTTGAAGATAAGTCTATAATTTGCTTTTATACTTCCGCGATCCAAAAAAAGGGCACTGTTCATATTTAAAAATACACCGGTTAAGGCCACTGTAATGGGGAACATAGCAAAAAGATATGCTGCTATAGTTTCAGTGTTTGAGGCTTGCCATAGAACACAAAATTTCCATTCCTCCTGCAAAACTCTTAAATGTAGCCCTTTGGTGGAAATCTGTAAACAATTCAATTCATTGCAGTTTTATTTGTATAGTGCCAATTAATAACAGAGTTATCATCAGGACCACTTTTCAAATAGAGGCAGGGTCTAGACCGAATCCTTTTAACTCTTTACAGAGACCAACCAGACCGACCAAATGAGCTAAGACTTGGCCGAAAGGGCAGGGAAACTGCTGTTAACAGGCGCAGAAACTCGGGACAGCACCTTCGGCTCTAAGTTGGTGGTCATCTGCCTCGACATTGTAAATGTGTCCGCCTTGTTCTTAGCTATAAAACTGACTGGTGTAGTTCTTGCAACATGTGTTTCCTCTTTAATAGTGATGGGAAATCAACTGAAATGAATAGTCCTCTAATTGTGTGCTTTTTAGTGCATTTTTTAAATCTATGAGGTCAGCAATCTCCTTGATCTGATAACCCTATGAAAGCAGTGCTTGCAGGGTTACGTTAATGACTGTGTTCATGTTACCTGTTATGAAAAACACAGATTATCAGTTCTTCTCATGTCAAATGTTACCACAATTTCTAATAAAGTCGCATAGCTTCCATGCACGTCTGTGGAGCTGTCTGATGGTCCAGTGAAATATTTATTGTTTGGTTAACCTCGTCAATTAATGCGGCATACAATGAACAGGCTTGCCCATTCAAATGGTGACCATTCACCCTAATGACAGTTAAATGGATGAGTTTAATTGTAACTCACGAGGGAATTGCTGTATATCTAACTAACTTCTTCCTTCGCTTTGTACACTACATGCCCATTCACCCTTTCACACCACTTCGGTTCATGCAGAAGTCCATTGAACACCGAATAACTCATTCATGACCGATTCCACACCAGTGATGGAGCGGCAGCATTTGGGAGCAAAATTCGGAGGTTCAGTAGCTGCCTCAAGGCACCTGCTCGACATGTGCGGAGAGAGTCCCGGGCATGCGAACCAACAAACTTTCCAATTAGGTGAAGAGCGGCTCTTCCCTCTGAGGCCACAGCCGCCCAGAGACCAGAGACTTCGTGTTTAGACTTATGATTACATTTTATTACAGAACAATGCCTGTCTAAAAAGTCGAGATATGACCCCTTCTTTTAGTTTTTTATGTATTACATGACGCTTAGGCAGAACGCGCTCCAGATAAAACTGATTTATACCAATAAGACTTGATAAAACAAAACTGTTCTGCAAAAAACCAGAGGTACCTCCAACCGCCGGCGTCCTACTGCAGAAGACATTTATGGTGTTTCGGTGAGCCCCTCCTGTTAAATTTACGTTTTTCCCCTGCATTAACTTGCAACAGCCTTCCAAGGGGTTGCTTCTTCCCTCTTGCTGCTTCTGACTGCCGTTGCAGCTCGCTTTTGAAAGTCTCCGCGTCTTTTCTTTCTTTAAGCCTTTTTTTCGCTCCCGTCGTCTGGAACATCGGTGTGGCAGTGGTAGTGGGACGGTCCGGTCGTGGTCTTCATGAGCGTCAGTTCCTTGGAATACTTTTCGTGCGCGCGCGGAGCTTGCTCAGTCCCTGTTCCTGGTCTGCTCACTTGGTTGTTGAGAGGACGGATAATCTCGCGCCGTAAGATTACCTGGATGAGCTCTTTAGTTCCTTGGCTCTTTGAAACAAAAGCGTTTCAATGGTTTGGTTTCTTTAGTTTGTCTCCATGTGTGAACAACACTAGTGAGGTATTTGGCTGATCCATCGCCAAAAATGCTTTGATCATCTCACCGGTCGTCTTTCTCTTCTGGGTAAACTGGCCCCAGGCTTCAGCGACCCACCAGGAAGGCATGAGGACCCAGCGGCCAGAGAGAGAAATACACGTCTGGATCCTCTTCAGCACTTCATCCTTGAGCTGAATTTAGTGTCAAGACAGCCCCGGGGTGTCATGACGGCAACATTTTGACTCCGCCTCTCCGCCTCAAGCCCTCTGTGCATTGAGTTGTCCAGGAAGAAGCACGCACCATGTTCAGAGCTGGAACGCTTCCTCCCCCCCAGGATGTGTTTCCCGCTGCCACTAATTCCCCCGCTCCCTGTCTTCCGCCACCGAAAATCTAATTCCGGAGTTCATTGGCTCTTCTTCTGTTTTCCGAGGAGCCTGAAAGAAATAAACAATAACAACATCTTTGTTTTCAGCCTTGTTTGTACTTATGTGTATAAAATATTGAAATCTTTCAATAGCAGATTGTACTATACAACATTTAGTGATGAAACATTGGTAAAAAAAAATGGTAAAATGGACCTGCTACTTGTATAGCGGCCTTTTCTAGTTTCCGACCACTCAAAGCGGCTTTTACCACTACGTGCCACATTCACCGCTTTCACAACACATGTCACGACGAGCGTTAGGCAAGCCCATCCGAACAGAAACTAACCTCATTCTTTACACCATTTAGCACACGCGCGATGCACAGGGGCATCGGGAGCAATTCGGGGTTCGTATCCTTGCTCCAAGTACTCTCGACATTGTGGCAGCCACAGGAGCCCGGGGATTCCGAGGACGCAACACACTTCCAGCACCGATTTTCAATTAAAGCATTTCACTTTTTTTTCACTGTGTGTAATCACTAAATTGACTTAAGTAAATTATCTGAATACTTCCTCCACCACTAGTAATCTGGTGCGTAGCAAAGTGGTAAGAGTGGTACAGGAGCCTGGTTTCTCCACAATAATGTAACCACAGCTGATAAATATGTATCACCTTTAAACTACCTTAAATAAAATTTTACAAAACTGAATTTCACACAGATGTTTAATGGGACCAAAAGGTCAAAGGTCAACTTCACTGTGACATCATAATGTCTTGGAAAACACTTTTTTGTCCGTTATTCAGCACCATGACTCAGGGAACAGAAGGGGAGATTGTGACCATATTTCTCAGTTGGTCGGACACTGAACTGATGATGCTTTGGACTCAAAGGTCAAAGGTCATTGGGGCTCTCACCTTTCCATCTCATCCATTCTGACT